ACAAAAACTCCGTAAAAAACCCTCCGAAATGGGAAAATAGGAAGAAATCTGTTAGGAGAAGATAAAGACTGGAAACCTTCTCATAGGATTTGAGCGTTACACCCCAGATGTCATGTGTACAGTATTGAAATAAAAAATCCTCCGGAGTGGGGAGGAGAGATGCAGGATTGAGGACATTGCAGCGTTTTACTGTAACATTCGGCATGTCTAGGAGACATGTGTGATATCGAAGGTAACGCGCTGCAGATAAATGAGACGACTTCTGTTCGAGAAGAATTAGTGAAACCGAATGTGGAACCAATAATGTTAGCGTAGCATAGCCTACAATGTCACGAGAGGCTGTAAGAGCCTTTTCAGCAGCTGCCACAGCTCGAAGGCACTGTGGTAAGCCTGCTGCTACCGGATCAAGTTTTGCGGAGAAATAAGCTACTGGTCGTTGTTTATCGCCATGGGATTGTAGGAGCACTGATGTCATACAGCCAGAACGTTCATCAACGGTTTGTGTGAACGGTTTGTGAGGATCAGGAAGACCCAAAGTCGGAGGAACTTGTAACGCGCATTTCATGTCCGTGAAAGCTTGAGGGGCTGCAGGGAGCCACTGAATTTTATCATGCGCGCTGAGATTTTTCCCATGTATCAATGCGGACAGAGGTTGCTCGAGTTGGGAGTCATTTGGAATAAATTACCTACAGTAGGAACACATTCCCAAAAATGACATCATCTATTTCTAGGTTTGTGGTTTTGGAAGTGTTACAATTGAGGCAATGCGCTTTGGTGATAGTGTCTTCCCTTCACCGGAAATGTTATGGCCTAGGAAATGAACGTTTTGTGAAACAAACTGTAGTTTGGATAGGCTGGCCTTGTGTCCTTCCGCTGCTAAGTGTTGAAGCAATTTGAGTGTGTCCCGTTCACACTGCTTTTGTGTTGGAGCTGCAATTAAACAGTCATCAACATACTGCAAAAGAGCTGTTCCTGGAGACAAAGTGAGGCTCTCCAAACGTTCCCTGAGTGCCTCGTTGTAGATCGTAGGTGATTCTGTGTAGCCCTGACACAAGCGTGTGAAAGTGTAAGGCTTGCCATTGAAATTAAACGCAAACCCAAACTGACTGTCAATGTCCACAGGGACACTGAAAAAAGCATTTGAGAGGACAACCACGGAAAACCATCGAGCATCAGGTGGAACCTGTGCCATAATGGTGTAAGGGTTGGGAACATTTGGGGCTCGTGCGTGGACGGCTGCATTAACTGCTTTTAGGTCCTGCACGAAGCGCCACTCAGTTGGTTTGCCTGCATCTCTGATCTTTTTAACTGGAAAAATAGGTGTTCTTACCGGCGAGTCAGGACATGGGACAATCACTCCGGCCTTTAAGAGGGAGTTGAACACCGGTGTTATACCGTCAATGGCCTCTTGGCGCAGTGGGTATTGATGTTTGTGGGGACGGAAGTCTGATCGAGGAGTGATGACCACAGGTTGACATTTTTTGATGAGTCCCACGTCATATTTATGCGCTGCCCACAAGGTGCCTGGAACAGAATTGAGGGCAGGAGAAATAGAGGAGACATTAGTCAAAAATGTATCAGTGTGTGTGTCAGAAAATATGTTATTTTCATCCATGGCATAAACAGATCTGAGAGCAGGTGTGCAAAATGCAAATGGCTGTTTAAAGAAGCCTGTCGACGGAGAGCGCATCACAAGTGGATCTGGTGTAGCCTCCCAATCTGCCAATGCCTCGCACGCTGCGACAAAAGGTCCCAAATCTCTCCATTGGTCTGTTGGTCTGTTGCTGCTTTAGACAAGGAGATGTGTGGGAAAGAAGAGTCCACATTAAAGAGGTGCTGCTAAGAGGGGGTGAGAGAAACGGAAACCACATTTAAGTGTGGACCAAAACATTGTCATACATGCAATTTGATCATTCAGATCCTGTACAAATAATGCATCATATTGCTTATCTGGCCCATGTGACACATGAGCAGTGCAGTGGAGATATGAAGCATCCATGCACTCTGCCTCAGGCTGGACGCGTAATGCTGCCAGGTGGGACAGTTCTGATTGTTGGTCAACCGGAAGCCACCACTGGTACACAAACATTGGATCACTCATAACTGTCTTTGCCATCTGGTCAATGGCTCTGCATCTCACCACTTGCAACCCTGTAGGAGTGGAGATGAGGCTAATGCCGAAAGTGCCGAAGAGTGTGAGTGTGCGTGTAGGGAGTTAGTGCAGAAAGCGTTTCTTCATTGCAGGCTGCGGTGTGTGTGTGTTTTACTTCCCTTATTATGTGAGGCCTCAGCATGGTTGCCGTCTCCCCCTCACATGCAGCCTCCTCCTCCCCCGCCTCACGTCAATCGGATTGTGCGTTGCCACCCCTTCCTCGTCCGGCCAGTCCACGCCCCCATCCTCTATGAGGTGCTTTTTGTGGACATTCTCTGTGACAATGTCCTTGTTCGCCACAGCGGAAACACGTATCATTGTCATTGGGTGGATACAGCTGTGATCCCTCCTGGTTCCAGGAGGAGCGTCCCCTCGTCATATCCCGACCACGCCCCCTGAATCCACCCCGTTGGTTGGGATCCCGTGGGCGGTCGTTTCTGGCAAGTTGAGTGACAGCTTGGAACATAGTCAGTTGGGCGAGTTCAATCTGACGTGAACGCCTTTTCCCCTCGTGGTCAGTTCTCTCTATGTCCATGGATTGCGCATGCGCAGCATGTTTCTTTACATCTGCGAGTCGCGAGTCTTCCATTCCAGCCACAGAACGCTGCACAGTCATTTTTATGTCGGGCAATAGTCCATTCATGAAAGCATTCTTCAGGTGTGATTCCCACGTCCCCAGAGCGTCTCCTAACACGGCGGGTTGTTGAATGCCACTGTTAAGATTAAACACTGTGAGAAGTGCTGCTTTCACTGCCGCTTCCTTTTCCCTCCCTCTGCCGGGTGTAGTGAACTTTTTGAGCTTGTGACCATGCAGACGGAGGTTTCTGGTTCGCAGGTGAAGCAGGGTACGGCGGTGGGCATGTGTTGAGGAGAGGGCCCCCAGCCCCTGTGAGACTCGGATACAAGGGAGAAGAAGCACATCGGTCATTTTGTTCAATAACATTTGGATCTGGTTTTTCAACCAATGTGGCTTTTGCGCATGTCAATTCTTTAGCCATTTGTTTCGTTTCTCTACATTCACATTCATCCTCCCACCATTTTAACCATTTACTTTGTTTCTCAATGTTCTCCCAAGTCTTTGCCTTTTATTACCCTCTGAGTTTTTATACCCTTCTCTTTTCCCTCTAAGCCTGTTCGTAACATGTTCAGTTTTATTCTACTGAAAGAACCATTTGCAGGGAACCCAAAATCTTTTGACCACTCGGGCAAAAACTCTAGAGATTGATCTCCATATTTCCTTCTCATCAGATCCACAATGGGTCCCTCCGGAGAACCCATTTCCTTTTTACTTTTACCGTGTACACCACCCATCTTTCAGGCGTGGTGAAGTATACTTTTTATTCCTTAAAATATAGTCGTCACTATAAGTCTTGATTTTCTTTTACGTAGGAAAAATACAAGTTAAAACCCAACCAGAAGTATTGGTTAATAAATATAGGTCAAGGGCGCAAATATCTGTTTTCAGATTACTGTCCGTAAACCCCGATATTGTTCCTGTCTTCCTGTTAGGTCAAGGGCTGAGATTTTGCGATTTCAGTGAACTCTAAAAATCCCTCCTATCTTCCCCTTCGGTCAAGGGTCACAATTGTCAATTGCCCCTGTCTTCCCCTTTGGTCAAGGGTCACATTTATGCGTTTTCAGAGTGTTAGTCTGAATACAATCGTTAATACGCAAATTGCCCCTGTCTTTCCCCTTGGTCAAGGGTCACAATTATGCGATTTTCAGATAGTTAGTCTGAATACAATCGTAAATCCGCACATTGCCCCCTGTCTTCCCCAGTAAAAAGTTGGATGCTGATGAACCGGAAATACTGTTTAATTACTCTTATAATTTTATACACATTTTTCAAATAACCGGATAAAAAGACAAGTTATCATCATTAGAAGCCCAATCAAATAACCGAAATTTGGATTTTCTAAGAAGAGAGAGAGAAAAAAAAAAAAATCACAAAGTACTAAATACCCGTCTTTGTAATCTGTTAACCCGTTATAATTCAGAAAACCCTGTTTGAAAATCAGAATATCAACTTCTTACCCGATTCGTGTGAAAATCTTCCTCATCGGATCGTGTTGAAGCCAATCAGGTCTCTTTTGGTCGCCGGTCCCCTCTCTCTGAGTGTCATGAGGTATAGGGCAGAATCACGTTTTGGTGGATCCTGAAGGGGCCCCTTCCCGGACGTCCTCGGAGTCCCGACGGAGCTTCAAACGATCCCACTTCTGACACCAAATTGTGGTGGAAGATTTTGCACAGACAATCGTTAAGTAAGAAACCAAGGCTCTGAGTCAAGTATGTCTTTTCTCCGTTTATTTCCTTGCAAGGGAAAAAGGGTCACAACAGCTACGTGGTCAGTAGACTGTCAAGAACCTCCTTCTTGCCCCCAACACATCGAGGCAGTTCTTATACCTAAGTTTAGATATCGGTGGCGTCAACAGAAACCTTTGACCATCTTGTTGAGTATCTACAGCCAGGGTACTGGGAACATCTTATCCATGTAAGACACGTCAGTTCTTTGACCGTGTCCTTGCTCTCCCAACATGCTAAAACAAAGGTGGTCATACACATAACAAACACTTTGTTCAATCTCTACAGCTATGACGCTGGAAACATCTAATCCAAGTGGGAGACGTCAGTTCTTATGTCAGGGCCTTTGTGATCTAACCACTTGCAACTAATAAACTGGTTATACAGATGAAGCATTTAAAAGGGTTACATATCATTTTCCCATTACATGACATACTTTTCTTTACTGTTTTCTTAAATTTAATGAACTACAAACTACTAACACATGTATTCATTGTCATTGATTGTATATAACTTATACTGATAACATAATGCAATATAGCCAGGACAGCCTTACAAGAGTCGCAACGCTTTGTGTTGCGTTGCTTCGCATCGCGTCGAGGTCTGTATGATCACAAAATTCAGAGTTTACCCACCTCTAATTTTACCACTACAGCACTGGGCTTAAGAAAGGCAAAATCCAAAGAAATGACACCGGGGATTCCTCCTGTGAGGGTTATCACAAAGTCAATGTGGGGTGATGTGTCTATTAAATAGAAAGAACAGAGGGGGGTCAAAAAGAAATTGAAATGTTTCCCTCCATTACGTGTGTTTTACAGGATGACGTTTCCTTGATGAAGGAGCTGAAGCTTAACCACTATCGCTTCTCTATATCCTGGCCCACAATTTCAGTTACCATCTCCATGTGGCTGGTCAAAGGGTCTGGAATTTACAAACACACACATTTGACCAGCCACATGGAGATGGTAACTGAAATTGTTGTTCCCACTGTTTGCACACTCTCTATTCTGCTCAGCGCCGTCTTCCTTATGTTCCTGCTGAGGCGGAACTAGACGTTGTGCATCTTTATAGCCACAAACATTAATATACACATATTGCAAGTGCATCATTTCTTTAATGGATCCTGCATGAATATAAATCAGGCATGAAAACGGGTCAAGGGTGAAAAAGGTGAGAAGGATATTACCCTTCTAGGGCAGGGGGTTTTCAACTGGTTTTGTCCCAGGGACCACCATTCTGAATAGAAAGTAATTTGCGGCCCACTGACGTGCCTGCACGCGTGTGCGTGTTTGTAACCGCCGTCGCCACGCCCCCTAACCCCGCAGATATTCCACCTGCAGCACTTGTCAGTGTAATTTCTTCGATATTTTTCAGATGCACGGCTCCTTCTGACATGCGCACCTGTTCGCAGTTCACTGAATATGAATACCCACCCTACTCATCGAATCTACACGATTCACGTAGGTCACCTATTTTGGTTTCAAAACGGCGAATTTCTTCGAAATGTAAGGAATTTTCATGCCTGATAAATACATTATAATGTGAATTTCAAGAGAATGTGTTGTAAAAACATTACTTGAGCCTTTTAATAACATCGGACACTGAAACAGTGGATAGCTCTGCAGCATGTTGCTTTTTGTTATATTGCTGAGGATTGATTGTACTTTGTTTTGCGTTGTTCTCTCAACTGCGGTATTGAACATACAAACAAATGTGATAAAAAAGATGCATTCAGAGAACTCACGGCAGCGTCACAAAACGTACTGAAAGTCACTTATTCAAAATATGTAACCAATATAACTTGTTATTAACAGAACTACTGGCCTGTTCTTCTATCATTTTAAAACATGTTAATTACTGATTAGAATACTGGAAATGACAATGAACTCCTGCTTAGTATTAAGTAGTGCTCAGTTTGATTTCATGCAAAGTTGACGAAGCTGCAGCACACCGTGGTGGAGAATAAGGCAGGATTCTCACTGTCCACATCAGTGATTTCATTTTGGTCATCTAAATAAAGAACAGCTAAAGAACAATGTTATCTACACTTTACCAGGGATAAAAGCCATTTGTAACATTACAGGTCATTTAGCTGACGCTATTAACCAAAGCAACTTCGACGATCTAGAGGAATTTAGAAAAAACAAACGAACAAACAAAAAAACAGCCCTCAATCTGTTGATGAACTGTTTTACCAAGCAGCATCATTTCATATCCAGGGTTTGATGTTCCCATATCTTAGAGCTTCCATGACCAATTTCAGGCAATCTACAATGTCTTGATATGAAGTTACACCTGCAATGAAGAATAAAATGGAGGAAAAAGGTTGTCACTGTCGGTTTGTAAAGTAAGTCAAGTGAATACTAAGTTTCCTTAATAGAGAAGCTGACTCACTCCTTCTCATTCGAACCCACAGCTGCTCCACAAAATCCAAATCGCCTCATTCCAGGAATGAGTTGAATATGTCGGTCTCAGGTTTCACATCTGCGTTCTTTGAGAAAAGTTGTATAAGCAAGAAAACAACCATATTTATTCTGAAATTAATTAATTTGTGAAAAGTCCTTTATTCTATGCTACCTTAGCTGTTTTGTAGTGTCTTTGAAGTATCCTGAAGCTGTGAAACCAAATGACAAAAGGAAAATAATATTTTGAATGAACTGTTAGCATTAATTAGTCACAAATGTGCATTAATTGAAAAAACAGAAGGAAGGCCGTGGTCAGATTTACAGCAGACACGCTTTCCAAAGCCTCCACCCATTCAGTTTCACCAGTTCTCAAACCATCAGCTCGAGTCTGAAATAACACAAGAATGATACATTTAGATCCCTATTTATTTGATGATGGTGTTCATTTATTTTTGGAACCTTGAGAAATTAAGACAGAAAAACATGGACCATTTTAAAATAAAATTATATGAGAGAATAGCGACTTTGTGCGTACATTGAGTTATAGTATTTGCTTTTTACAATACTAAATACACAATTATGGTCGCTCAGGTGACACTGAATGTGCGCCATCCCAAATCAACGTCAGTGTGTCACAAAAGTGAAGTTGCATTTCAAAAATCATAGACTTCTCAAATGCAATACAATCTCCATATGTTGATTCAATTATCAGATTGCTCCGGCTGCACTCAGTGAGGCACAGCGTCGACTTTACTCACAGCTTTTTCATAGATGAAGACTGGCTCGTTGCCACGGTACATTTTCAGCACAGGAATTCTGTCTCCGTCCGTCTTTAACAGTTGGATGTTCTCCTAAAATCAATCAGAAACCGAAACGCGATTATTCATCAGGGTGTTACATAGATACACTTTAACACGACTGATTTAACGTTCACACATAAAATACAATCACCTCATATGCAAATGGTCCGTTGCTTTCCTCATCTTGAAGAGACCTTCCGTCAAAGGAGATATAAGATACACAATTAAACCTTGCCGCAAAAGATAAGTATATTCAAGCAATTGAGAAATTAAAACGTAAAGTTAAGCTATAACACCAGGCGGATTATTGAAAGCGTTCATTTGACTTTCTCTAAAATACCAAACACAACGGGCGTCATGGTAAACAAGTTAACTCACCGAAGAATATTATAAAACTCCTTAGCGTCGGATATCACCCTTGAGCTCATTGCGCAATCAGATCAGTTGTTCCAGAGTGGATGAATGTTACATATATTAAACTAAAAGTTTTACTAAGAGTTAAACGGGATGCTAGCAGTGCTGGGATGCTAATGTTTTTTTGACTGTCGCGCGTTTACTCAGGCGATGACGTCATAGGTCATAGGTCTTTTCTTTTTAATCAATTATACGTTTAACGTTATGTAACACAAAATAATGGCAGCACGGTGTTTATATAATCCCAATAAACCGCAATTATTTCTTTCTTTTATCAAATAAGAAAGAAAAAAAGTCGTCGTTTGGTCATCCTGCGCCGTAAAAATGGCGTAAAGAAATAGTCCCGTTTGAAGTAACGTTAACTAACTTTAATACGGTTTTGTTTGGGCATTTGTTTTAAAAATCAATTGCAATTATTTGATAAAGCTGTAGACATTTTTAATAGACATTTATACAAGGTAAGCAAAACATTCGTGAAAAATATATTTCGGCGGAAGTGATATCCGTCTATGCGGAGGCATAAACCCTAGAGTGTGTTACACCGACTTCCTTTTTCACTGTGGCCGCCATACCGTGAGCAGTGTGGTTCCCGGCGAATTTTCGAAAATGGTGAGAAGATACCCGTAGATCGTTATCAATATGCTATATAATACTTAAGCTTTATATCTCAAGTTTCAATTGTCATTTAAACGTCACATAGTTACCTGGATGAAGCTTGTATTCAGATCTATTGGAACAGCCAGTTGGAATGCGCCCGGCTGACGAGGCTAACATGAGGAGCCATTTTGGACGTATAGCGTCAGCTCAGTAATTCAGACCAGTTCCACGTGTAGAGTAGTCGTAGCTAGCGCATGTGGTACAGGCCATGGGGCATCGAATGTTGCATTTTTTCCTCGTAAATACACGTTATGGTATTCTGGTGTGTTAGTGCTCGTATTGGCTCCTTTGCCGGCGTGTTGGGCCAACGCAACGTTTTAGACTTAAAGTTAGTTAGCTTCCGTCGCGTTAGCCTAGCCGAGCTAAGCTAACGGCTAACAGCTATAGTTTTTGACCAGTAGTAGAAATGCCAATACAACGTCCCTGTTATCGTATATCAGGGATATACGAGGTGCATATCTGGCTTACCGTTGGTGTTGGTTACCCGCATAAATGAGGCTCAAAGGAGATTTGATGTACATAGATATAGATTTGAGCAAACACCGTTAATGGACGTTCACCGGGACAAAGCGAGTATGTCTTCGAGAATATTCATTACATTATCCTGAACTCGATTGTTTTTATAGGCCTGTTCCCGACCCCTCATCTCGGTTTATTCCGAGAAAGGAGAATCTGCTGGCAAGAATGTCGTCCTGCCAGCCGTGTTCAAGGCTCCGATTCGCCCTGATGTCGTGAACTTTGTCCACACAAACATGCGCAAGAACAGCCGGCAGCCGTATGCCGTTAGCGAACTGGCAGGTATACCTCCTCCTGCAACAAGAATGAGATGAGCCTCATAGTTGAATCAAAGTATTTTACAAGAGCGGATACGTTCATGCATTCGGATGTGTTTGGTAATTTATGTGTCATTTTTGTTTTACAGGGCACCAGACCAGTGCAGAGTCCTGGGGTACAGGAAGAGCTGTAGCTCGTATCCCCCGTGTGAGAGGTGGTGGAACCCACCGCTCTGGCCAGGGTGCTTTTGGAAATGTATCCTTGGGACCAAAATTCAACCTTTAGGGTTTCTCTTGTAAAGAAAATACTTGAATCCTCAAATCAGCCACAAGACTTGCAATGATGGTGTAATTTGCGACTTACTCTGTGATCAGTGACAGATGCCTACTGTCATATGCTGGCACAGATAGCTGACGAACAATGAGTCTGAGCAAGTATTACTTAGTTAATTGTTTTAACTAAGGCAATATCTCTTTCCGATCCCCATACTGCACTGGGACCTGAACATAGCCAAGAAGGGGAATTGTTTCTCCTGAGTACGCTTTTAATCAGATGTGGGACTTTTCGATGGGTAAATGTGGGGATTTCTTCCGGTGCAAAACTTCTGATGCGATAGACACTCAGCGTGGTTACATGGATTCGAATAACTGGCTTGGTCTTGCCGTTCGGGAAAATCTGCGCGTTTCCTTCACATTTCCCCGCGTCGAATCCCCCTCACTACAGACCGGTCATCCGTTTTGTCAAACATCCTTGACTTTGGTGTAGATGTGTCGTGGAGGCCGCATGTTTGCCCCCACTAAAACCTGGCGTCGCTGGCACCACAGAATCAACACAACCCAGAAGCGCTATGCAATCTGCTCTGCAGTGGCGGCAACTGCCATTCCTGCACTTGTCATGTCCAAAGGTATATGCCAAGAACCATTCAGTTTATATACAGAAGTACCCCGTTTTTAAATGTTACCGCTTGTCTTGCCATAATGGTGTAATTTGCGTCTGAGTCGGTTATCAGTGACAGTGGACTGCTGTCTTAAAGCTGTCACATGGTATTGATGTGTCTTCGAGTCTGAGCAAGCTGTCGCTGTACGTCACGAAGTGTGAAACGGGTGTTTGAACCAATTCTCTTGTCTGCTAGGACACCGCATTGAGGAAATCCCAGAGGTCCCATTGGTGGTTGAAGACAAGGTTGAGGGCTACAAGAAAACCAAGGAGGCGGTTCTCCTGCTGAAGAAGCTGAAAGCCTGGAATGACATAAAGAAAGTAATCAAACCTTTCTTCTCTCTGCTTGACAAAGCACTCTTGATGACATGATTTTAAAAATAAAAAAAACTCCCTCCGGCAAATATGAACAAAGTAAAGATGAGGAAATGGAGAATAAGATGGCTGCCCCATATGCTGAGCAAAGGATGACTGGGAAGATGCTAAAAATCTAATTTATGTGTATGTAATGGAAAGATCTTGGACTGAACTTTTTTTTTTTTTTTTTTTTAGTGGTATTAATGAACAATTCTGGCTCTGATAACTGCTCAAGCGTTCAAGAGCATGAAAAAAAAACCTTTAGTTGTGTTTTGTCATATAAGTAACAATAATAAACTCCTCAGGTCTACGCCTCTCAGCGCATGCGTGCTGGTAAGGGTAAGATGAGGAATCGCAGACGGATCCAACGCAGAGGACCGTGTGTTATCTACAACCAAGACTCGGGTCTCACCAAAGCCTTCAGAAATATCCCCGGTGTGTCATTAGTTCCCATTTTTAAAGAACCTACCATTATGGTTAAGAGTTTACCATTAGCACTATTACGTACTTAACTACAATATGCTGTCGTTCCTGTAAACCTGAATGCTATGGGGTAAAAAAAGGGAAAGGATGATTAAATGTTATAAATTGTCCTGCTGTAAAGGCATCACATTGCAGAACGTCAACAAACTGAACCTCCTGAGGCTCGCTCCTGGTGGTCACGTTGGACGCTTCTGCATCTGGACTGAAAGTGCTTTCCGCAAGCTGGACGAGCTGTACGGCACCTGGCGTAAACCTTCTTCCCTGAAGGCCGGCTACAAGTGAGTATTTAACACAATCACTGTTACTCAAGTAGATCAGTGATGAGCTTCAACTTCATGGTCCGTGGTTTTGAATATGTGATATCTAAAGAAGTTGAGTTAAAATGTCAAGATATGTCACTTGACTATTTTCTTAATCAAGAATTAAATTAGTAATGCCTCATTTATTTCAGCCTGCCAATGCACAAGATGACCAACACAGACCTGAGCCGGATTCTAAAGAGTGAGGAGATCCAGAAGGCTCTTCGTACACCAATGTAAGCACCGCTCGCCGTATACAACATTTATGTTTGCTCTTCAACTATGATGATGTTTCAACTTCAGGTCCGTGTTTCTGAATCCTGATTGTATGGAAGTTCTGAGCAACGCATTAAGTTAATAATAAATTTGTAGTTGTGCAGAAGTGACAATTCTAAGACTGGTTTATTTTGTCATTACAGCAAGAAGATCATCCGCAGAGTGCTGAAGAAGAATCCTCTTAAGAACTTGAGGATAATGCTCAAACTGAACCCGTACGCCAAGACAGCAAGACGTCATGCCATTCTGAAGCACAACCCTAGGGTAAGAACCAAAACCTGTAGACCTGAATTGTTACCAGCTGGCTCAAGGCGACAATATAATGGACAACAAGGCAAATACATTGATCTAAAGAATGAATACATAAGTAATATGTGTGTTCGAAAGAAATGCAGACTAATCCCTAGTGGCAAGTAGAGGTCATCCCAAAAGTGACTTTGAAATCTTGGTTGTCCCCCTCCATAGACGAAGGCCATGATGCTGAAATCCAAGAAGAAGCCTGGCAAGAAAGGAGCACCTAAAAAAGCCACGGCATAAATTGCTATGCTTGCAGACAAGAGTTCGGTGATTTAATAAATCATTTGTTGCAATTGTACGTGTCAGACTGTCATTCTAAATTTTATTTCAACATAACATTTATATCTCATAAACTAAACTCATAAGAAAAATCTGTCACTGCTAAAGTACGAAAGGTCGAGAAGGATATTGAGGACACGGGTTCGGTAGCATTTTTCATGATTCAATTATATAAAGACTTGTTCAATACAAAGATTTAACTCTGCATGTAGCTTTGTACACTAAAAATACAACTATTGCTTGCACAACGTGTAAACCATTTCACTGAGGTTGGTGCGATGTGTGGTAAACCAAACGGGTGTGGGTGAATGTCACTGGCTGAACCAATGGTACATCACAACCAGCCAGCAAAGTCCCCCTCTCCTCAGCTTAATGAAAGTATCAAGTCAAAGACAAATTGCAAGCTCAAAAAGCTGCTGTGATGGTAAATCACCGTAAATATTGGCGCTCGTATGCAAAGGACGCCTGTAACTAAAGTTGCTGGGTCTCCCAAGTCTTCTGCAATATATTAAGTGGGTCAATTGTTCCAATGTAACTTATTACTGGTTGGCTATATGGCTATTTGATATATTATTGGCAATGCATACTTTACTGATTTCTAGATAAACCTCTTCTGAATCTTCTATTATTCCTGGCTATGACGTTTGAACAAGTAGCCATTTAAATGACAACGATCATTTTTACCGTTTTTTATGTTTTCAAGCTCTCTTGACATTGATGGCATCACTGTAGAACAAGAACCTTGTGAGGCATCTGGATTTAAAGCTGCTTTCCGCAAGCTGGACGAGCTGCACGACAACTGGCATAAACCATCATCCCTAAGGGCTAGCCAAGACTGAGTAAGCGATCTCACTCTTTTTTTGTAAGTTATGTTTATTATCAAAAGCAGAGTGTAGTTATACATTACACTTTTACACATTTTACTTTTTCTCTCCCCCTCGCCCACATTTTAGTTCCTACCCCCAAATCTCTCCCAACACAGAAAAAATTGCGCCGCCTCATTTGCTAAAAAAGCACATCACAGTGTAGGTAGCTAAAGTATAGACAAAGTATTACATACGGTGCAGGAGGACAGTACAGACAACCAGAAATCAGTAGTGGTTCATACATCAACATTATAGGTCCAGTGACAGCGTCTTCATTTTATCAAACTTTTCAGGGTGTCCCCGCAGAGAAAACTTGATTTTTTACAACTTTAAAAAGAACACCAGGTCATTTAACCACAATGAGGAGTTGGGAGGGCGAGGTGACTTCGCAAGCAGCTTTGGCGGAGGTTGGAAATATAAAAGCACCCGATCGCCATTTCAACCAGGGACAGACCCATACTCCAGATCTCCTACTGAACGGAGTAATGTGTTCCCTACACAACGCTGTGTAAACGCTACACAACAGACATACAATTATTTTATTATAAAACGTGGTAATATTATACAGTCGCACTTGGACACTGTGCTCACTAATCCACATGTCATGTTTGCGAAATACTGGTAGATGAGAACCATTCGATTCCACAGAGAAATTTGCCTTTGAGCTTTTAAGTCCTACCCGCGCCCGACTGCCATGGATACAGCTTACCTTCCTTGCCATAATCAGACCGGAGGGGCGGTGGGAGACTCCTCCATTGCCTGCACCGAGCTTGCAGATTTTCTCAAAGTCATCGTCCTTGAGCTCGCCCACCTTCTGCGTCTGTGTCAGAAAGGCCTCCAGACGTTTCCGCTGCTGATCGTCCAACTCAAGCTCGTCCAGCTTCTTCTGCAGTGCCTCTAGATTCGAAGAGGATGGAGAGAAAGGTGATTAATTCATATGCTATGAATCTCTTCTGTGAATAGATGAATTGTTGATCAAACTATTCTAAAATGCTTCTGTTTGACCTGTTCTCCTTTACTCTAGTCTTCAGTATGTGCATTATATCTGATCATAATAAGATGCTTTTCTTCTTGCTTGAGGGTAATTATCCTTTTTTTCCCACATCTTTGAATGTAATCACGACAGATCAAGGACGTACGCTCTTTTCTCTGCCGCTCGCCACAGACAGGTTTTAAGAGATTTTATTTTTGACAGTAGGTCTGCATATCCATGGAGACAAAGTGCTGTGTTTGAGTTGGTTGCAGATAACGTGGGTGACAAAAGTTGGAGGTGGAGGAGGATGGGGATACCGAGAAGTGGAGCAACTTGAAACACACTCCACACAATACGAGCACGATGCTGGCCCTTTGTCCTCCATCCGAACAAGGCCACGGGACAAAGGACTCCTGTTGGAACTGAAGACACAATTTTTCCTAAGCTTGCTGCGAAACACAGGGAAAAAAATGGCATAGCTGTTCTGCAATGGAGCTTCTATGAGATTATTAATTATTGAACTGAAAAAAATCAAACCAGATCAATTTATGAGGTCTACGGTTTACAACTGCTGTGAATCTGCTGTTTTCCCAACATACCAATAACATGGTGCACACTGAGCTAAAAGGGCCTCATGCCAAGTACGAACATTATTGCTTTTTCAGTCCACTAACTTCCAACTCAGGATGAATGTATAATAACATTGTTTGATTTATCAAGAGCAAGATCAACAGTTTTTAAAGATAAGGGAAATGAATGTGTTGAAGCCAAGCATGCCATCTGTGCAATTGCATTGCTAGGCAACAGTTTGGGTCCATTTTTACTTCTTGACAGTTCACATAATGTCACTGCAACAGGGAATAAACTGGGACACATTTGTAAGGTTTAGAACAGGTTGGTTTTTATTTGTTCTCAGATCTCCTCTGATAATATCATACGCTTGGCTGGCATTTTGTGGACAACTCAGTAAACTACTCCCATGACTGCCACACATTAGATGCTGAGAGAGCATCTCACGGGTTGTAATGGCAATTCCTTTTCACCAGAGAGGAATGGTCTTAATAAGAGGCTCATTGATTGCATCACGGTCTCTTGTAGCCAATATGCAACAACAGTCCTGCTATATGTGCACCAGATCCTCTTGTAGAATTGTCCAAATAATGTGCTAATTTATGTATCTGTTGTATGAATGTAAGCATTCCAAGTATTGTTCTTCTATTCTTTATTCCGCCATCTTCTTATATTTCTTCCGTCGCACCTTTCAACTCCTTCACACTTTCAGCTATTAAAACCGTTCAAATTTTAAAATATTCAACTCATTCAGGAGAGGGGGGCTATGACTTTTCAGCTTTCTACCTCTTAAGCTTGAATTTATACATACATACATTTATACATTCATACTACAGACCAATTTCAAATCTACCTTTCATAAGTAAAATAATTGAGAAAGTTGTCCTACAACAACTTAATCACTTCCTGGCTTCAACTGGCTGCCACGACAATTTCCAGTCAGGATTTTGACCTCTTCATAGCACCGAGACGGCCCTTATTAAAGTTGTAAATGACATCCGTCTTAACACAGACTCTGGCAAAACTTCAATATTAATGCTATTAGACCTCAGTGCTGCATTTGATACAGTCGACCACTCAATACTTTTGGACAGGTTGGAAAACAGGGTGGGGCTCTCAGGCACAGTCTTAAGCTGGTTCAGGTCATATCTACAAGACAGGAACTATTTTGTTTCCATTGGTGACTTTGTATCAGAAACAACCGACGTAACGTGTGGAGTCCCCCAAGGTTCGATCTTAGGGCCGAGTTTATTCAACATCTACATGCTCCCACTAGGACAAATCATGCAAAAAAATAAAATTGACCACCATTGCTACGCTGATGACACCCAAATCTATGTAGCGCTTTCACCAAACGACAATCGCCCCATAGATCTTCTGTGCCAGTGCATTGAGCAAATCAAAGACTGGATGTGTCAAAATTTGAACTAAATGAAGACAAAACTGAGATCATTGTATTTGGTGCTAAAAAAAGAAAGGTTTAAAGTAACCCAACACCTTCACTCTCTGTCCCTTAAAACATCAAATAAAGCCAGAAGTCTGGGGGTTATTATGGATTCAGATTTACACTTGGAGAGTCACATCAAATCAGTAACAAAATCGGCCTATTACCACCTCAAAAATGTAGCACGACTTAGAGGGCTCATGTCAGCTCAAGACTTAGAAACACTTGTACATGCCTTTATAACTAGTAGGCTGGACTATTGTAATGGTCTCCTTGCAGGTCTCCCTTACATTGGCTCCCAGTATGTCAGAGAATCAATTTCAAAATCCTACTGCTCACATATAAATCACTACATGGTTTAGGGCCAAAGTATATCACTGATATGGTTCCACTACACAAGCCTTCAAGATCACTAAGATCTTCTGACACCAATCTGTTAGTGATTCCCAGAGTAAATACAAATCATGGGAAAGCATCATTTAGTTACCACGCAAAAAACAGCTGGAATAAACTTCCTGAAGATTTAAGACTTGCCCCAACTCTGACCACGTTTAAAACAAGACTGAAAACTTTTATGTTCAGGTTTGCCTTCTGCTAAATTTGACCTACATTGCACTTTTAACCTCTGCCTTTAATTAAACAATTTAAATAATATTGTAATTTATCATTTTATTTGCTGTTTTTAATTGTCTTTTAATTCCTGCATTTGATTTCACTTTATTGTATGAAATGTTATGATGTGAAGCACTTTGAGTCTGCCTTGTTTATGAAAAGCGCTACACAAATAAAATTGCCTTGCCTTATATAAATCAGTAATCATGAATATTTCTTCTAATGGTTTTCCAATGGAGATCGTGTTCAAATCCTCTTAAACTTCTTTAACTTTCAGATTTTTCAGCTTCGCCAATCTTTCAGCTACAGACACAATTTAAACTTTCAAATGTTGACACATGTCTCAACTGTGTTATGAAAAAAACTGCTTGTTGATATCTTTTCTACCTTTTTCATAATCACTGATTATGTTTCACTAGTTCTTCGCTCCGTTGTGTTTCTTAGAGTGAGACCTGGAGATGCCAGAGCGTGGGGCAGCGTCAGAATCTGGTTAAAAAAATACGGAACTTCGGTCCTCAGAGCCAAAGTATACACTTTTGAGGCTTCATTTTTAG